AAGTACAAAGCAGTGAAAATCATTAATAGGCAATCGTTCGATGGGCTGAATTGTACAAAACGCATGGTCGCGCCGGCTAGTCTGGTGCGCGTTGCTATTTATTAAGAAACGAAGCGAACTTCAGGATCGCCAGCAGGTTGATGACCATCTGGCGATGCTGCATTGGTCAAAGCCATTTGCATTATTTTGGAGAACCACGTTGCGGATTAGGAGCTGTTCGAGATTTTCCGAGTAAGATCTGTGATTTTCAGACTCAGCTTGATGCAGGAATCAGTGGATTTAGAAGATCCCAGTGCGGATTCGTTGGCAGATCCAGCTACTGTTAATGTTGATGATACCGATATGGAAGTTGATGATAATGATGCTTCGGCTGCGGCAGATGACGGGGTAGAAGATTCTGGTGTTGTTGGCTCAAAAATCGCCGAAAATAGTGCTGATAATGAAGAGATACGAAGAATCCCGAAATCTGGTCGTTGGTGGAAGTCGGTACGTAAGGAAAGGTGAGTTTTCGCGATTTCTTTTTTTTTGCTGCAAATCGAAAAAAGGCGGGGATTACGAGGTATGGAGGTAAAATTGAGGCGGATAAAACCAGGATCTGGATTTTGGAGGAAAGTTAAGGCGGATGAAAATGCGTGGGATCTAGATTTATCCATTACCTGGTTGAAAAAATATCCTAGGATTTAATCGTCGTGAGTTTCTGAAGATGTCAAATTGCGCGTTTTTGAAAATAGTAAAAAAATTTGAAGGGTTTTGTTTTGATGCATTATGCATCTGGAATAAAACTCGAGTTTTCTAGAAACAGTTACTGATCCCTGTAGATTTTCGTGAAATATTAACTACAATGAATAAACACGAAAATATGCTTTTGGTACTTTGAGCAGTTGTTATGCGTTTTGTGCTGTGTAGCAGAAGTACAAAGCGCATATTGTCACGGGGTTGTCTGTGTGTTTTTGTGTGTGTGTGTGTGTGTCCGCAGCAACTTGTCCGCAACTTTCAACTCGGGAACCACAAAAGGTAGGAAGCTGAAAATTTAGAGGAACGTTCCCCACCCAAGTCTGACCCCGGAAATTTAAATTTAGCTTCCCCGTACCCGCGGATAACACATACGGCCCCGTGAAATTTTTTCACGGGTAAGTTAATATCTCGGAAACCACGAAGTCTAGGATGCTGGAATTTCAGGATAATGACCCCCTGCCCACGCTCAACCCTGCCCATTCAAATTCAGCGTTCTCGCGGTCTCGGGTACCACCTACGGCCTCGTGAACATTTTGGCGGGTAAACTATTAGTTCGGGAATCACCGAAAGATATTCATCCTTCAAGGTTTCGAATTCAGCTTTCATGCGCTGGTGCGTGGAATTTTTAAATATTTTCGAATGTTTGAACTATTTTTGCATAAACTAAAGTACAAAGCAGTGAAAATCGTTAATGGGCAATCGTTCGATGGACTGAATTGCACAAAACGCATGATCGCACCGGCTAGTCTGGTGC